ATTCCCGGCCTATCCCAGGGAGGTAGGCTCTGATGGCTTGCTGGGTGACTGTATATATTCATTGAGCACACTGGACTCTGGGTCGTTTCCTGGATACGATTAGTACAGCCTGGAGGGGGCAAGCTGCCCTCCCAGGCAATGCTACTGGATCTGTTGTCATGAGGCCTCAGGTGGACAACCTGTGGGCCTGAATGCTGAGACCTGGGTTCCGCTAAAGCTGACTGAAGGGCCATCTACTGAATATCTGGTCTGTTTTCATGGAAGAAGGCAACCAGCTGTTCTTGGGCCTTGTGAGTACAGACATCTTTGAAGGATATTAGAGACTCTATGTTGTTTAAACCCCTCTGGTGCTAGGGAGTCAGCTGCAGGTCTAGCTAAAGTGGACACCGTTTGGTGTACTGAAGAGCTCTGTCAATCTATCCTCCTTTTTAAAGGGACACTGCTCTTGGGGGCTCTAAGAAAAAGAGTTACTACTACCACTACTACTACTGCCTTAGAGCTGAAGTCCACTGTCTTCTCCAAGCATGGACTTTAACATAGCTTGTCCTGAAAAATACTCAAGTTCTCAGGTGTACATAATTCTTGTTTTTGAAGTATTCCATTCACCTCCCTCAACCCTATTCAAGTTCTCCAAAAATAAAACCAACACCTGTAGCCTGGTCATTGGAGAAATCGAGTGAATGAACTGTGTGCCTGGCTGCGGGGTGAAGATTGGGGGAAACCTTGACAGTATTCCTGCGGCTCCTATGGGAGTAGCGCTACATAATCAATTGAGATCTCCCCATTCTGGTAAAATCCAATATTCTTTCTAGCTGCAATTTGAATTTACTGTATATGTCATAGTATGCCCCAAACAAAGGGATTATGCCTAATCCTCGATTCACATGTGCAAAGCCTTTAAGGCTCTGTCATTCCTAGTTATAGATGTGAAGAAGAGCTAGGTCCCCTTTCTTCAGGGATAACCTAGAACAACATTATAAATATAAATTCAGGTATTTCATTAAAAATCTGAATATCAGGGAAGGTGTCTATAAGCTCTTAAAGGATAACTCCACTTTCGTGGGAAAAAAATAGCAAATAAAAACTAATATATAATAGTATTTACAATTGTGACACAAGTCATATTGTAATGTAATGTTTAAAAATTACCTTTTCTTTTCAATCTGCAACGCTGTAATTTTCTGTAAAATGCAGTTCAATATGGCTACCTTGAGGCGTTCCGTACACAGATGATGTACAGAACACCCCCCCAGAAATGTAATTTCCTGCTTGTGGGATTGGCTCACTAATTTTCCCAGAATTCTGCACTAAGATACAAGTCAGATTTTTGGCATCCCCTGCAACAAAATGTCATTTTTGGTGAGATACTCACAAAGGGAAAACATGGCTAAAGGGATGCAGACCCTGCAATTTTCCTCATTATAGCTGTGCATGTGCAGCAGCTGATTAATAATTATGAAACCACTCTCATACAGATTCACTCTGCACATGGACACAGACAAACAGCTCTTTCTTTTGATTAACAAAAGGCAGGATTCTGAAACAAAGTTTGTTAAAATTCTTGTAATATTCATTGACCTAGAGAGGAATGTGTTTTTCTCAACAAAAGTGGAGTTACTCTTTATGTCAATGGTATTATATCCTTTCCACACTGATAAAAGATTTCCTTCCCATTCATCAGACTATTGGGAACTGTCTTGTGGTTAGCAAAATATTTGGTAGGACTGCCCTGTGGCAACTGAATATTGGAAAAAATCCTACTTGCACTATTTGAGAAAGAAATTTCATTAACCCCTTGGTTTGTGGTGTTCGGTATTCACCATATTGGACTATTCTGATCCTACCATAAACTTTTTCAGTTTGCATTGACAGCAGCTAAGCGGGCAATTGTGAACAAGCGGTGTAAATAAAATGCTATGGTATAAACCAAGATCTCCAATATTTAAATAAATGAGAGAATCATCCATATATTAGAAGAAATTTCCAATCAATATGACAGGAGTGGAAAGATTATTCTCAATCCCATACCTCCATAGAACATCAGGTGGTGATCCATCTGGGAGACAGCTCCTCCTTCAGGGAGACCCTTTATGAAGGGGCATTAATATGAATAATTTACTTGTATGATATTGCAAGTTTACTGTAGGCTTGTGGATGTTTTTCCTCATGCTAAGCTGTAATTAGGAATTTTGTGGTTTTTTTTTAGAGTCAGCAATTTCTTACTGTTACTCTTTCTGTAATTATTTCTGAGCAATGTGAAATGAAGCTAATTGTGCAGTGTACTGAAAGCTTCTGATCTCTCTTGTGTCTTTTCATAACCCTACATCATTGTCAACAATGGGGCTTGTCTGTTATTGTGAACTTATAAACCTACCTGTATCATAATGTGCTTGTCACATGTATAGCAGTGTGTACAGGGGTTATGCATCTACTGTATATTGATATCATAAAATTACATTGACGTAAAGTACTTCTGACCCTTTCTCCTTTTGCAGAATAACAAAATTCCCCAATGAAAGTCAATATTTTTATTTTATGCTGAAGCTCACTTATTTTTAGTGGTTTTTTTGATGATTAGAGCAAAATCTTCAGAAAAATTACAAATAAAAAAATCCTCACAGTTTAGTATGCTATAGAGGCACCTTGCACAACAATACTAGCTTTAAAGGATACGTTCACTTTTCAGTAAAGAATAATAAATGCAGGTAAAAAAATGTGCATTCAATATTATTTGCTGCAGGAATCTGTAAAGAATTGCAACCAGCGATCAGTGGATTGCTGGTGCCATGCAGAACTCCTGCAGATCAGTCAGTATATCTTCTTGCCCGTATGGGCAGGTATACTGACAGGAAGAGTAAATTAACTACCACGGTTCTCCACAGTTCACTGAGAACTACAAACCGACAGCCACTAAACCTGTCACAGAAGCGAAGCCCAGTGACAATGTTTTTTTTTTTTTTGACAGCTAGTGTGGGGAATCCTAGCTACTAGCTGTCAAAGTGGGGGATCAGCAGGGGCCGGTGCTTTCATAACAAGTTACCTGTTACACCCTGAATATGGGTGTAACATGTTATGAAAGGTGAACTTATGTCAGGCTGGGCAAAGCAACAGGTTCACTTTAATTCTCTCCATTCCAGCAGCACATACTCATTATTGCATCCTTATTTCCTTCAGCCGCCATGAGCAAGGAAAGAAGCTCTGTGTACTCTCTGAGTCACACTAGTTATGGCTTACATAGGACCAAGAACTCTCTTCCAACCGCTATGTGACAGTGCTGAGAAACCACCAAGCACCAGCACTATCACATGAGAGGAAGAGGGATTGAGTCACATGCTTTACATATAAAGAATTATATTTTCTCAGCTCCAAGCAAGGGATGGTGAGTATGAGCTGCAGGGGAGGCTCAGGTTTGTATAAAGTCTTTATGTGTGATATTACTGTGGCCTCCACCATACCTCTGCACTGAGACTAATACCTTGCTATGATCTGCCATTAAGTCCCTGGAGTTAGCAGATTCGTTTAAACTATTTCATATAAAATCGTAAGATGTTTATATGTTCCGCCAATTATTTGCCACATATCGCTCCTCTCCTGCACTCTGTTTACATCCTTCGGTACTTAATGTTGTCTCAGTCCTCAGCAAAATGGCCGATGCGATGTCTCACTGCACATGCGCGACCTTAGTTCGTGCTCTAGGTATCACAGCCGACAATATGGCCGCCGCACATGTTCGTGCGCATGCGCGCGAAGCCCTCGGTGACGCTGCATTGCCGAATGGCGCATTTGCGCCCTAGTATATATAAAGAGACACATGGGACAGGGTTCTCTCCATTTGAAAATGTGTTATTACATGAACCGCATTAGGGAGGCACCCTTTCTCATGGAATACTAACTGCATTGCCTACTGTCTACCTCAGATGTAAGTGCTGATCCTTTTTATCTGTATCTTGATGTTACCCCTTTTTTTGATCATTAAACATACTACACTATTGGAGTTCTTTTTCTCTGGGCTCATTTTTTGGCACCGAGAGTCCCCTTCCCCTGAAGGTACCTATCTGGATTCCCACCTGAATGTATGATCCCCCTGATGGTTGGAAATTGCACTGCTGGATGAAGCTAACCTAAGATGTTCACACATTGACAGAGAGAGGAAACCTGCCCTGGATAGATGACACCTGGTGAGGCACACCTACCTGATGACCTCATCCGCATGCAGAGTTCCCACCCCCTGAGTACCTAGGAGTAGGTCTTATATACTCCAACGCACATTAATCTGTGCTATCTGGTTAGTGCATAGTATGCTCATTGTGTCCCGCCACAGCAGTCACGAAAGCTAATTGTTGCTTATTGTGTCACTACAGCCACACTATACCTCATGAACTAAATTCAAGACTGTACTTCTGTTGTTTTTGTGATATCATTTGTCTACCATAAATACGCTATAGCGCCGCATTTGTAATAAAAATAATTATATTTTCTCAGCTCCAAGCAAGGGATGGTGAGTATGAACTGCAGGGGAGGCTCAGGTTTTATTGATGGATGACCAGCAGTAAGAACCAAGTTCTAATAAACTGCTACGCTCTGTTAAGCTGTCCAGACACAGAGCAAATTTTAATTGGTGGATGGTTCTGTCAGCACCACTCTCCATCCTGTATACTTTGTTTGAAAAATCAAAGGAGCCAGTTGGAAAATTGTCGGGAGAGCAGCATCTGCATCCAATCAAAAGCTATTCAATAACCACAGTGGGAGATTTGTTTACGGTGTCTCTCAAGTGTAGTTGGAGGAATCTGTTAGATCTATCAGTGGCCAGCTATAGCCTAACCTAGGGGACATCAGGGGCAGACTGACCATTTGGAAACTTGGGCACTGCCTGAGGGCCTGGGGTCAGTAGGGGGCCTCATGAGATGCCCCTGGTACCTTTTTCATAAGCTTTTTTGAGTTTGGGCAAGGACACAGGGGCCCCATGATCCCCTATTGCCCGGGGCCCCATGAGTTGTCAGTCCACCCCTGGGGAACATGTACATAGGATACAAAAGCGCAGAGATTATCATCAGTGTTCAGCATGCTCTTTCATCAACCAACCACCAGACTAAGACAAACACCAATGTATCAATGCAAACGGCACCATAGAAGCAGGGCTTGTGTTAGTGATTGAATCACAACTATATTGCCATGAAATAGTTAATATATATGAATTTTAGCTCTTGTTTATGTGTGTGGTCAAAATCCACCTTTATCTGACCCACTTCCCCTAGAAACCCCCAAAGTCTTGCACTCACACTTCAGATCCTTGTTCTTCAGATGGGATCTGCACAGCCGCCACTGCAAACTCTCAAGGCTGGGCAGCTTCTTTTTCTAAGCATGCCCTGAAAACCTCCATTCCTGCAGAGAGGCAGTTTATTGTGCCCCAATGGTGGATGGCCTCTCTATATCAATAAATGAAGGTGTTTCCATGCATGCACAGATAAAGCAGCTGCCTGTCTGGGAGATTTTGGAGATGTGTCACTCCTTGTGGTCTTCACAGAGAAGATCTGGCAGGAGTGAGGACAGGTGAGTGTAAAGCTAGCCAAAGACATACTGTAGATTTCTCCTCAACACTAAGCAGTGTGAACAGAGGAATCTCTTCTCCTTCTGGCAGTCAGTACCTGCAGTTATTAGACTATGAACAGTGACAGCATATGACTGCATACAGTCACTGTTTGGCCAAAACATTTCCACCCACCTCCTTTGACCAAAGTAAACTAAACATAGATTTTTATTGAGACAGGTGATGTCAAGAGGACCACATATGGCTCGAAATTTGACCGATATTGGCAGCCTTCAGGCATTGTGGGTTGCTGGGAGGAGGGTCACTTAGGCCAGTTTCACAAGGGTTTCAGCTTGTATAAGAGCAATGAGTTTTGACAAAGTGCTATTCAACTCTAGTTTATAAATGTTGAATACAGATCTTAATGGGAGTGTTGATTGCCACTTTAAACATACTACTAACAGGCTTTAGCATGCTTTCAACAAATTTCAAAAGTTCTGAATCCTGCTAGCAGCTTGTTTAAAGTGTCAGTCAGCACTCCATTAGGATCTGTGTTCAACATTTGCAAACTGGAACTGAATGGTACTTTAAAAGCTTCAACAAAGCTTGCTTAAGTTCTGCAAATGCTTTGTCAAAGCTTGCTGTTCACACTGCTCATACACAATCTGAAGCCTGTGTGAAACAGGCTTTAAAGTATAACTGCCTAAAAGTACAGTAATCCTTTAGTGTTTAGCAGTTTGCCCAGTTACTTAACAATATCATTTCAACCAATCATTTAAATATTTAAACCATAGAAAACACAGAGTACACAATATTGATCAGGTGATTATTGCACTTCATGGACTGCAGAAAGAATTGCAACTAATCTCCATCAATTAATGTAATCCTATAATATTATGGTCTTCAATGTTAGAAAATCTTATGTACACTGGTGCGCTATGGCATTAAGCAGTGATGCACAACACGTGCGTTACTTCACTCGATCTTAGCCAAATTGTGGTGACATTCAAAACCTAACACACTGTTACAGTAGCATGCAACACACCCTATCTGCAGCGCACTATAGGCACTTACTATTCACTGTAAAAAAAAGAGCACAACTGATTTTTTCCTGTAACGATGCTATGCGTTTACGCATGCATAATCTATTTTGCAATGGTGTTTATTGATACCATCATTCCAGCAAACAAAGGAATACAGAGTTAGAAATATATAATACAGAGTAAATGGACGTGCAGTTCCTCAAATAAAACATAAAATGGTAAAAATGCACTGATTTACAGAAGTAAATTAAAGAAATGGTTACGACATATAAAAGTTATAAAATTAGAAGCTCTGCTTATTTGCCTCCTCCCCCCTCCACTGCCATATATGGCAACATTTGGGGGGTAGGGGGGAGTGGATACCTGTTTTTGACAGGTACCCACTCCCACTTCCGGCTCAGTTCGCCGCGGCGAAGTGAGACAGAAGTTTGGACCCTCTTCTTCCTCCTGCAGTCTCCTGGGAAACTTCACAGGTCCCAGAAGACTGCCGGACCAAAGAGAATGCACAGCGCCACTTGCGCATGCGCAGCGGGCACCCGGCTGTGAAGCCGCAAGCTGTCACAGCCTGATGCCCACAGTTGTGATGCCGGGGAGAGAAGAGGCAGAGAAGGGACAGCGCGGATGAGCACAACCGATTTTTTTAATCAAAGGAGAAAAAAACAACACTCTTCTACCTCTGAAAATATATTCATGCTAAGTATATCAGTGGAAACGTTTTGGTTTCAAATATGGTAATTGTACACTCCAGCTACTCATCATTTTGATGTTTTTCTTATATCATGTGATTAATAAATCTCTGTTCATTCTAGAAGCTAAACCACTGCAATTTTTTGAATATCGGCCGATCAGCCATGACCATACTCTGTGAACCTACAGTTCTTTACTCACATGAATATCTACTAAGAAGGTAATTAACGAATACTCTACATAATGTATTCTTAAAGTCACCTGGTTGCCATGTAGGAATTATTTTGAAGCAGAAGGCTCAGGACAGACACATTGTCATTTCAGGGATTTTTTGTATTCATTGTTCATTTATTTATTCTCCAGGATTCACATTATACAAGCCTTTACTACCTTATTAGAGGAATTGAAAAGGATGCAGATCTTGATATGGAAGATATACTTATAACTGGATTTTCTACATGGACTTTCCATTGATGAATACAGAAGTAGTCTTTGCTTATTCATATCTGACTTATCAGTCATTCATGCAGCTAAGTGGAGAACGCAGAACGTTTTTGGTATCTTGTTTTTTTTTTTATTTTTTATTTTTATGATTGAAAACTGTTCACCATGTTGTAATGTCAACCTTTCTATGATCTATGTGATCCAAATAAATATTATTTGCATTCACTTATTTAGTGGGCAGCACAGTGGCTAAAATGGGCAGCACAGTGGCTAAATGGTTAGCACTTCCGCCTGGCAGTACTAGGGTCACTGGTTCGAATTCCAACCCTGGCACCACCTGCCTGGAGTTTGCATGTTCTCCCTGTGACTGCGTGGGTTTCCTCCGCGTACTGTGGTTTCCTCCCACACTCCAAAGACATGCTGGTAGGTTAATTGATTCCTGTCTAAATTGTCCCTAGTATGTGTATGTATGAATGTGAGTTAGGGACCTTAGATTGTACGCTCCTTGAGGGTTAGGGACTGAAGTGAAAGTACAATATATATATGTAAAGCGCTGCGTAAATGGACGGCGCTATACAAGTACCAGAAATAAATAAATAGTGATTATTACTCCGCATAGGATTTGTAATATACCACTTTGTGGCAGGTCTGCTCTTGTCAGCTGCTAATTTTCTTTTCATGAGCACATCGCTAAAACCTGGGACAGGTGAGTGTATGTTTATTAAAAGTCAGCAGCTACAGTTTTTGTAGCTGCTGACTTTTAATAAACACAAAACTGACTGGATCTCCACTTTAAGGATGTAAAACAATTTACAGGTTTGATTAGCATACAAAAGTAAATGATTCATCCATACAAACCTTTGCTTAAACATGAAAACAATGTACAAAGTGCTATGTGTGACCATATAGAAAAAGGTGCTGATACAACAATCTTTTGGGCCCGGAGGAGGTCTAGCAGTTATATACCGTAGGATAACAAGGGTCCAGAATAAAGATCATAATCAGCTCAGATACTAAATTAAAAGGAAAAACAGAAAAAGAAAATAAGAGGAAGGAGTGTTCCGGGGGTTCACGGCACAGGGCCGCTAAAGCGACAGAAGGACGTTATCAAGCCTAGAAGGCTGAGCTATGGTGATCCAAGGTTGCCAAATCCGGAGGAACTTGTATGTGTGTCTAGTAGTATTGCTGTCAATTTTTCATTAACCATTATAAAATCCATCCAATGTTTGACCGCCTCAAAGCTGAAGAAAGGGTCTTCCATACTTTCACTATAGTCAATTTGGTGGCTGTAAATAAATGTGATGCCAATTGTCATTTGGGGCAGAGTAGGTCTTCTATTAGATTAAACAATAAAGCTTCATAGGGGTTACACATGCATAATCTAAATGGACCCTTAGACCAGAAAGCCCTCTGCAGCTTCCAGGAATTTTGCATTGCATGGGCAATGTACAGTCAGCAGCTGTGAGAATTTCTTAGTAGTCTTTCATATCGGGTTTTCTCTGTGAAATCCAGCAAGCAGGGTGTTCCAGGATCACCAATAGGTGTGCTCCAGGACACTCAGAATATAGGGGTATGGGGGGTGAGATGGAATGATGCATTACAGCAATGCCTGGATGGATAGTGGACCTATTCAGCAGATAGGATGTGTTCCCAGTACTTGTCTCACGGTTTAGTTTTCAAGTTTGACAGGAGTCATTCCAAACACTTATAAATACCTTTAAAATTCTTAATTTCGAAAGCCACACTAAGAAGGTCATATTTCCATCAGCTGAGATATGACCCACTACAGAATCACAGTCACTTCTTAAGTCCCAGAATTCCTTTCTGTCTCTATAGCCCAAACATAAATAGGAACTGAGGATGGAATTGCTGTTGATGTTGTTATTACTGCTAGTCACCTCGAAGTACATGTTTACCATCCTTATAATTATCCACTAGTGAAACATTATCCAGAGTCTAATTTCCAAGTAAAGGTTCGTTGCCTAAGGCATTCACCTATAAAATTACCTGCCAGATACTGTCTTCTGGACGGCAACCTTGGCAAAAGATTTAACTTGTTGAAAGAAATGCAACAGTAAACTTTTTCACTTATATTGCATTTATATGAGTTTCTAAACTGGCTGGAATGAACTATCACATTAAGAAAACCGCAGTTGTGTTCACAAGTTTCTGATGAAGTGATAATATGGGTATATTTATAAAAGTCTTTAAATTGGCGTGCTGCTTAAGGCTTATTTTATACTCTTCAGCTGATGAACTTTGCAAATTTAAAGGGGATGCTTCAATAACTTTGCAAGTCTGCATGACAGAATATACG